CACACACACACACACACCTTCCTGTCCCCCACGGGAATGTGGGGCTTCCCCTAACCTGGCTTTGCCATCAATATGCCTGCTTCAGGTCCAAAGGTGTCACTGAAGAGGCCCTGCGCGTCTACATACGTAAGAACCAAACTCCTCTGTTACTCGCCCTCACCCCAAAATGCCCTTTTCCTCCCTCGGCCACCCACCTAAGCATCAGAGCTTGCAATGTGGGCACGAGCTCCGAGCTGGCGGAAAGACAACTGGTCCGGCCAGCTCCTCCCTGGCGGGAACCACGTGAACACTGAAGAATGCCCCGTGCAAGTCCATACAGAGATGAAGTATTTTAAACATCTTCTTGGAAATAACTGCTAGGCTGCGCTACCCAGCAGACGAGAACAGGGCCACGTAGGCCAGGGCTGGGGAGGAGCTGGTTATGTCTTCTTGGTACAACAGGCAGCAGAGGTGCCATTTAAGTTCTGCAGGGCGCTCTCACTGCCAGGGTGGACAGCCCCACCGCGGTGCATCCTGGGAAAGGAGGCGATGTTCCCAGACCTCACTAGGACAGGGAGAGGCTCCACTGCCATTGGCAACACGCAGCGCATCAGGGTCACGCAAACACAAACGCGTTTCCGAAAAGAAAAACCATGGCTCAGAATCTTAGAAACTGTAAAACGTGGAGGCACTCAGCAATCAAAACCTTGAATTTTCAGTTCATTCTTCAGAATGTTCCTTGAAAAGCGTTCTCCTTAGCACTGAAAAACAAGAGACTTCCTCGCTTGAGGAAGATTTGAGAAAACTCCAGCCCTACACTCAACACAGCGATGGTGGCCAGCAGTTTTCTGGCTGGCCCCCGTTATTATTAAGTATCCTTCTGTTTGACTAAGAATTTCTCCACCTCTCACAGACCATCTCTTTTTTTTTTTTTTTTTACTTCTGGGTCCAGAAAAATCCGAAAACCATGTGTTTATAAGGAGGCTGTTGCTATGCAAATCTTTAAAACACATTACAAAAATATTTCCTTTGAGTCAAGAGGACAGAGTCGGGGAAGATGAACTGCTAGCAAGACTCCCCTTGCCGGACAGCAAGTCTGGCAAAAAAGAGTAGGAGAAACGGAGCAAATCGGAAAAAATTATGGTGGTCCAATCCCTTGAGTCATTTTAACCGAAGGGGGGAAACTAACATTTTTAAAGCCCCAAGGTAATATATCTTCTATGCAGAGGTTAACGAGCTCAGAGGTTCTTAATCTCCTTAATGCCTACGGTTTTGTGACTCATTCTCCATCTGTCTCCTAGGATGTCCTTCTTTTCTGCCAGCTTTTCCTCACTTCTGGAATCACATCAGAATTTCCCCCCTTTGACTTCTACTCCTCCTAGGTGCAGTCGCCTCTTAATGTCTTTTGTTTTGTCACTCAGTGGTCACCTTAAAGCAGAATCATCCCTTGCTTCTCCAGCATGGTCCTTGCATTTCAGCAGCTTCCCTGCATTGTGAAGATACTTGTTCCAAAGCAGGCACAGCCAGTGGAAGAGACAAGAGTATCAAATTCATGTCGAAAAAGCAGAGCTTCACGGCTTTCCAGTTCATCACTCTCAAAGTTTGGCAGGGCTCTGAACATACTACTAACCTGGGCATTTCAAGGCTGGGTGGGGCGGTCTCAGGACAAGTGAAATGAACACCTTTTAAATATAATCTTCCTTTTCTTCCTACGTACCTCGGACACGTACACAGGTTTGTGGCTGTACCCCAAACCCTAATATACCTCTATAAGCCCTGGACTCTTTGTCCTTAATCAGAGAGAAGAAATCGCTGCTCATGACTCATGCTACAGAACCTGCGTTCCCCTCAAACAGAAGTAGCCAAACCCAGGCAAACATGTGTTGGCTGAAAACAAGTTTGGTTGGCTCCAGACAAAGGCTTATTTCTTAAGCACAGATGGTCGCCTCCTCCACCAGTTGCCTGCAAATGAAAGACAGATTTCTACTTCTAATCTATGCAAATATCTTCCCCTGGGGGGCATCACAAAGACTAACTGTTTGGTGTCGGAGTCTGTGGACTCCAGGTGCTCTGGGAGATGCCAAGGCCCATCTCCATTTGATCCTGGTAACTGGGGACGGGGGTCAGGAGCCTCTTTGCAACCCTGCTCCCCATGCGGGCTGCAGGCCGTGGAACATTCTGCCGGAACCCCGCCCCGCCCACTGCTTCCCCTTGGCTGCTCCGCTGGAATGCAGTTTCATGTTCGGCTGGGACCTCGGAGGCTTCTGAAACCTCCCAAGAAGCCTCAGATGCAGAGGCTCCTGCTGACCGAGGGTAGCAGCATCCTCCGTTTGGACTTCAGTACATCTATTCATCTCCAGCACCAAACCCAGAGAGCCTCAACATCTACAGATTCGCTCCTGTTCAAACAGCCAGATCCCGACCACTCACTTGCTGGGTCGTCCCCAGCGGCCCTCAGCCTTCCCAAGGCTGTGCAGTTCTCTTCTTTTTTCTTTCTCCTGCTTTCAACTTTAATTATTTACTTACAACATTCTTTATTTCTCCTCCGCCTGACTATGTATACTCCCCCTAAGACCCCTCAGGGCCAACAGATATTTTTTGCAGTTTGAGCACTCACACACACACACACAATTCTTCCCACTAACTCAGTTCCTAACTTTAAACATCAGAAAGCAGGTTATACCTGAAATTGACATAGTTCAGCTCCAATGTTTAAGTCTACAACAGTCTTTCAAAGTTTTAAAGTTTTTCTTGGGGCCAGGGATATAGCTCAGTGGTGCAGCACCTGCTTGATAATCATAAGGTCCTGAGTTCGATTCCCAGTACCAAAAACAAACAAAAAAAAACCCTATAAAGTTTTTCTTTGCTGTTTTTCTGTTCAAACGACAGCAAGAGTCTGCTTTAAATCCTATATTAGGAAGCATTTCTTTCCCTCCCTGTTAATTTTTATCTTAAATGTGCCAGGCTAAGCAAAAGACATTCTAAAGCAAGAGGCAAGAAGTCTTCCCTGCCCTATAACCACCTCCAAAACATTTTATTCTATACCTCACTCAGACTTGGAGATCGAAGCACTTTTTGTGTCAGTTTATGGATGCAAATATTGACAGTCAGATAATGCAGCATTAAGTATACTTATCAGGAAAATCTAAAACTATAAGTCAGAGTCCATTGATTTCTGAGTTTGGACAAGTGCCAGGAGTACCTGAGAAGTCCTGTTTCTAGCCCTAGCCATTCCCATTCAAACTTCTGGTGAAGCTCTAGGATGCATATTTATAATGAATGCTTCAGGCTGTGACGGCACAGCGGACGTCTGGTTTCTGAACAAGTGGTCCATGGCAGAGTCCTCCACAACACACTCCAGAGATCACACAGTCCATGCTACCACGTTCCCAGCGACCCCACCCTTTCACAAGTCCTGTTCCACTTTTACACGGCTGCAGTTATTAGAAGCTACATTCTTATGTTAAGCCAAATAGCCAGACTTCCAAGTCCTTAAACTTTCCTCACTCAGGGCCTTAACTTTGTGCTCAGGAGTTAACACAATATTCCCCCTCCCACGAAAGGATCTTCAGACATCTAAAGGTAGCTACTGTGCCCTCGCGGCCTCGTTCTGGTAAGCTTACTCAACTCTAACCTTGTCAAGCACAAGTTCTCAGTCCCTCACCATTTCAACTGCCCTCCCTCGGAGTAGAGCTCACAGACTAAGTCTGTCTTGAGTAACACTTCATTTTTCTGGCAGACTTTTCACAAGACGCACTAATTTATACTCTGCATTCACCCTTGTCCCTGTTATCTTGCCTTTAATTGCCCAAAAGCCAAGATTCAGCTAGTACTTGACTTTATTAACCTAATGCTGTGTTTCTAGCACTGTGTAAAGTACCTAAGGTGGATTCAAAGCCAGCAGAGGGACTTGGTAGCTTTTTCCACGGGAAAAACTTAGAGAAGTGAGATCACGTGAAAGCAGTGCACGACGGTATGTATCAAAGGGCTTCAAACGACTTCCACGAGATAGGCTGAATTCCTGGTTTTCTGAGTCACTCGGTGAGCTAACTCTTGGTGTCTATTTTCAGACGTACCATCTATTCAACAATGGCTTTCGATTTTAAATAAAAGAAAAGGGAAAAGAAAATAGGGACTACCAGAAATGTGTATGAGAATCTCAACTGCACCTTTATTCCAGAAATTTAAAATCTGTAAAACAATATAAATAAAAGTCACATGGAATACTGCACGGGCACCGCCTTCTGCACATGGCGCTGGCATCCCTCGCCCAGCACTCTGGAAGCCAGGATCCCAGCAAGAGAAGGAAAAGCAGAGGGTTTATGTGATTCCCTTCTCTGATGGAAATATCCACTTGGTGGGGAGGATCCTCGGGTAGTTTCATGGAAAACTTACCAATAGGTAAATTGCAAGAACATCCACAAAAAATAGCTGTTTCACTCAGTGAATCACACACTATCAGAACTTCATGGATTCTCATAAACCCTCACTTTACAGATGAGGGGGAAGATGGCAGGTGGGTACTGCAGGGCACAGCCCCGAGGGCCGGGATCCTGGCTTCTTCTCTACCACTCATCCCTGCTCCCTCCTCTTGAACCCGAGGGGATCAAAACTCTTGCCCTCGCCACATTTTCTCAGTTTATTCCCATTTTTGATTACCTTCATAGTCCTCAAATCCAAAGCAGTTTGGTACATTTTGGGGGGCCACTTGGAGGGAAAAGGTGGACAAAACATATCAAGGGGTTAAATCTCTATTACATTCTAGCACATCTCTTTTATCCACCAACAAATACGCTGTCTATGCTGCCAGACACAAAATTCCACCTGGCTCGGGGTCACTGCCAGTTCCCCAGGCCTGCGGGGAACCGCCAGGGTTGGCTACACTTCACAGCTACAAAGCCAGGGGTAAACAGCCCCACCCTCCCTGCCACGACACCCACAACTAAATCAACCCGTCCCACGGCCCCGCCGATGTCCCGGTGCATCCATCCCCGGCATGGGATTCGGGCGACTGCACCTACCTTGTGGCCTCTTGCTGAAGCCATGACACATTTGGCACGTAGAACATGACTCCGAAGAACAGCAGAGGCTCATTAGCGAATTTGTCCAGATGTTTCTTCAGTGGCTTCTCTAGCTCCACCCATCGAGCTTGCTGGCTCTTGCTCAGGAACCAAAGGCCAAAGTAGTGTGTCTGGATAAAAGGGGAAGAAACTCGCATCAGCTGGGGCTTAGCACAGACCACACAGAAAACAGTCCTCCTGCACCTGCGTCTCCGCTCACTCCTCAGCCTGCACACGAGGTTGCTATTTGGTAACCACGGGATAGGTGAAAAATGTCCTGTCCATGCAATGCCACGACTCCACCTGCAACACCCCTGCCCAGGGCTGCAGTCTGTATGCAGTACCTGTGCTAGGCACAGGGTGAGCACGGTGCGTTTTGCCTGAGAAATGAAGTCTGCCTTCCCTGTCGAAGTCTGTCCCGGCCCTCCCACTTGTGTCCCAGTTGGGTGGGACATCATCACCCAACTCCAGAGGAAAAACCTCCTGCCAGCTGAAAACTCCCGCACTCAAGAATATCTGCATAGAGCACCAGGTTTTAACCAAAAATGTATTGGTCCATTTTGAGCTTTAAGGAAGGACTTTACAAACATTGTCCCATACCACTTTATTATAACATAAACTGCAGCAAACCCTTCTGCCCTCACCACGCTGTGAGAACAGAAGGCCCCCCTCTTCACAGCTGCCTCGGAGCCCCTCGTGGCTGTTCTTGGCAAGCTTAGAGTGGGATTTGATAGATGAAAGTGAGATTTTCACTCTCACACTTGAAGCCCCAACCAGTCTAGTTTTGAACAACATGCTAAATCATTTAAAACAGGTACTTTTATGCAACTGGTGTTGTCTTTATATTAATTCATACTAGGATTTCAGGATTAGCACAATAATCACCAAATAAATAGATCACTGCTTTGAAGACTCTTTTATATTTCAATTATAGCCTAGAATCGTTTACAGCACACCTGGAAATCTGCCTTCAAAAGGATGTTTTCATTGCAACGTTGAGTTTCCAGAGGCATTCTTGCATCTATTTCCCACCCCAGCTGGCTGCCTGATCAAAGTACCAAGGATAGATCCTGCCCTGACCCTAACCCAAACCCTAGTTCTCACTTGACCAGAGAGCCCAATTTGTCCTCGCCTAGAGCAGGCTGCAGACTTCGATGCATTAAAGGATATTTTTAATGGATTTATTGTCAGCCAGATACAACGATCCCATCAATTTTCGTCAACAGTGTTCCAAAGGGCACATTCATACCAGAAACCTACACATTTCTCAAGCTACAGTTGCAACCACCAGCCCAGCGCATATTTCTATCAACTTAGAGGACCCAGCTGTCCAGTTCTGAGCTTCAGTGAGTCCACCAGTGGTTTGGACAAGAGTGACAACATCAAGAAAATGGATTGGGGCTGAATACAAAGAAAATGAGCTTGGAAGCCAGTTAGTTCCTCTCCCAGCTCTTGTGTTCCACACCTCAGGAGCTGGGTACAAGTTACTACTGAGCCCCAGGGACTCTCAGTTTTCTCATCTGCAAAATGGGAACAAGTATGATGCCCACCCACAGACTGTGAGGTACACAAATCAGACAGTGCCTGTCACCTGCATGAATAGCATATGGTAAGGAATATCACCAATGATATCCTCTGTGGCTGATGCAGTGGGGCTGCTACTACAGCTGTTTCACTACCATCATCACCATCACTACCACCACCACCATCATCATTGCCTTCATCATGATCACCATCACTGACATCATCACCACCATCATCATCACTTTCATCACTGGTGAATGGAGGCGGGCAGGAGGCCCAATGGTCTTTTTCATCAGCACTGCCAGTGTCTCTGTTGCCACAGTTTGGATGCCTCCCCCCAGGGGTCTGGTGTTAAAGGCCTGGTCCCTTGCTTCACGCTAGAGGGATAGGTGGAATCTCAAAAGGTAGTGTCTAATGGGAGGTCCTTAGGGAGGCCTTTGAAGAATGTGGGACCCTGTACCTTTCTCTTCTGTTCTGCAGGCCCAATGCAACAGACTAAGGGACCATGGACTTACACCTCTGAAACCATAAGCCGAAGAATCAACTTTTTCCCTTCACAAGCTGATGATCTTGGGCACTTGCTATAGTTAGGAAAGCTGGCTGAAATGCTTATGAATCACACAATTATTAAACGGGGGTTATCTGGAAGTGAATGACAAGAAGCAGACAAAAGCAGAAGCTGGACTAACTCTAAATAACACAGAGCTGTAAGAAAAATAACCACAAAGCAGTGGTTCCACTAAATTCTTCTTGAGAACCTCATTACAGGTGTTTATGGGACAGTGGGACATAAATCTGATGCTGTTCTCAGGGACAGATGACACAGGTTTAGGCTTCAAATGAGGTCCCCCGGGCACTTAGTTCGGCAAACCTGACTGAACAGGGCCCCAGGCAGCTCCACATTGCACTGAATTCCTGCGTGGAAGACAGAGCCATAAAAGGATCTCCCGCTGCATGCCGGATGACAAGGAGTGCTTGCATGTAATAAAGGAGGTTACATTCACAAACTATGACACTGGAAATCATAATTATTATGGTTAGAGAGAAGCCCTTTCAAAGCATGGGCGGAGGAAAGGAAGGCAAGCTGCATAATTACTTAACCAACTAATCGTGATTTATTACCTTTCACTTCAAGTAGTTTAGACATTTGGGAGGTATTTTTATGCTCCACACTTCATTCTAATTATAATATTCATTCAAATTAAGAACACTTGGATTAAGAATCATCCACGATATCTGCATGTGCATTCAAGAACTGATTTTTTTTCCAGAAAGAATCGGTATTTTTATTGCTATTATGCCTTAAAGGAGGTATTTCAAATTTCTTTCCATTCCGAACTGTCTTAGTTACTTTTTCCTCATTGCTAAGACAAAATACCCAACATACAAAGTTAAGGGAGGAAAGATTTATTTAGCTCACAGTTTGTAAAGGTTTCGGCCTATAGTCAGCTGGGCCCAAGAGGGGCCCATAGTCAGCTGGGTCAGAGGGGCATTGCAGAGAAGAAACAGCTCATGGTGGGCAAAAGGTAGCAAAGCAGTAAGGGTTGACCACAGCTCTTTCTATCCCTTATATCTTATCCAGGCTACTTAGGGCGGGTAGCACTCACACACTTAATCCCACTGCCCTTGATCCCAGGATCACACCATGAATCCATCCCAGCGTCACACACTCTAGATTCAGCCACCTCTGAAAAGGTCCCATCTATGACCACGTGTGGCTTTGGAGGGACATGTAGACACAGCCACAGCCGTACACCACCTATACAAGACGATGAAGAGAGACCTGACCTTCTGCAAAAAAACAGCCAGAAAAGAAGAAGTATTCCATGGAGCACATACAAACACACAAGCACATGCACACACATACACACACATGCGTGCTCACAGAATGATGGGGTCTAAGAAAACTCAGAGTAAAGTAATAATCTGGAGCCACAGTATTTATCATGGAGTTCTAAAATACAAAGCAAACCACTTCAAATGGAAAAATGTAATTTGTGGTGTAACATTTTTTTGTTGCCCAAATAAAGCATTTTCCAGAGGACGCGGAACACTGCAGAGGGAGTCTGCACGCAGTTATCCAACGGCAGGACTCGAGAGCTGGGTCTCAGGGAAGGGGAGCCCCGGAGGAGCAGGTCATCTACACACACAGCTTCTACCCACTCGCAGCCAAAACACCCTGTTTGTACCGCGCTGCACCCACCCAGTTACCTAGGAGAAGGAAAGGCTGTTCGTAGGATTCCCACTCGCCCACTGTGTTTTGAAGCTCTGCCCCAAGTAGCTGTCTCCCCCTAACACACTGCTGTGCTCATTGCCCCCACAGCCGCATCCCTGCTCTGGCATGGAAAGACCCAGCCTCCAACTGCTTCTCTTGCCTCCGGTCCTGTTCAGTTTGCTGCTCAGGTTTACAGGAGAGCATATCACATCCTGCCGCATCCACACGGTGCCTCCCAGGAAATGGAACCGAAGACAGCCTGCACCCACCGGCTCCCCTGCACGGTCCCTGGGACCAGCCCTGGCCTGTTTACCATCGCCCTGCCAACTAAGTGCTAGCTCAGTTTTGTTCATGATTGAGAAAAACGTGGCCAAAGGTTCCAAATAGAAGCCACCTCCACCAGGACCAGAGGACCTCAATGGACTCCCCAACGAAATGCCCGAAACACCTGCTGCAGGCCTGAGGTAGCAAATGTAAGCCAGGCACTCCAACCCACAGGCCACCTCTCCGGGAGGCAGAAATCCCACCTCTTCTCCACCTGGAGAGCTCACTACACTGGCTGGCACAGTGATGAGTTTACTGCAGTGATAAGAAAAGAGGGTAGAGAACCAGTTCCCAGAGAGGGAAGCCAATTACTAAAAATGCACAGCAGTGAAATGGGGTAGGGAACCCAGCACTGAAAAAGCTGAGGCAGGAGGACCCATGCATGAGCTGGAGGGTTACGTAGTGAGTTCAAGGCTAGCCTGCACTATCAAGACCCTATCTCAAAAGAGCAAAATAAAACAAAAGTCTATTAAAATAATTCAGAGTGGTTTTCACTTGTTCATTTATTTGTAAAGACATGATGTAATTCTGCATATTAACTGTCAATAAGACAAGTTTGTTTCTGTTTTTGTTTTTGTTTTGGTGCCGGGAATTGAACTCACAACCTCACACTTACCAGGCAGACACTGTGCTGCTGAGCTATATCCCTGGCAAAAGAAGTTTTTCTGAGAGTTCTGTTTTTCCAGTTTTTTGACCAATGGTGTGAAAGGATTAAACTCCTGATCTTCATGCAAGCATTTTGAAGAACAAATCATCCAGAAGTAAAAGTATTAAAGTGTCTTACCTTGAGGTGGGGGTGATGACACAGGCCTGTAATCCCAGCCTTCAAGAAGCTGAGGCAAGAAGATCGCTAGGAGCTTAAGGCCGGTCTGAGCTACTGGTAAGTTCTAGGCAAACCTGCATTATACAATGACCCCATATCTCAAAAAATAAAGAACAAAAACCTGTATTAAGTTGTAACAATCGCCTATTCTTCCCAGTATTTCCACTATCAATTAAGAAAGAGAGTCAGGAACCTCCACATCATATGCCAGCATTCTTTACAAGCATCTCCCCTACACCCCCGAA